GGGGGAAATGGCATATTTAAATATTGATATAAACAGCATTCCCTGTACTAACTGGAAGGGGGTTGTAACAGTTTAGGCAAACAATGCAGGCCTTTAAAGGGTCCGCACAAATCGAGACACTTGAGTAATGCATTGTATCCATCTTCCAAGCACTCTTTGCTTTGTGTTCTCCTATATAATCAAGAGAGAACCTAAATAATGTCCAAACTGTCTTCTCCCAATTCATCTTCCCAGAACAGCGAATCGCCTGTGGGAGGGTTCCTGCAAATACGAATTAGGGAAGGAAGCTGGCAGTACCCCCAAAGGGCAGACAGGAGGTTGGGCGGGTGAGCAGTACCATCAGAATGGTGTTGGGGCAGAGATATGGTGATTTCATAGCTGACTATGCCCTTGGCCATGGCACTGTGTTTGGCAGGGATTTCTTTGAAAGAAGAGAAACAGAGGAGCTATTTCTGATACAGGCGAAGAAATTTGGCAGGAGTGACATACAGGAACTAAGAAGAATTTATTCAGCTCAGTGACCAAAGAGCGTCTTGTTTGGAGAAGAAAGGAGTGATCTTCTGCAACATAGCATTTCAGAAAGAATCTGGTGGTCATTTTCTTTTGTGGTTGACCCAGTATTTAGAAGATTGGGGTAAAGTCATTGGGGATACAGACCTATAGAGGGGTTGGGGGTAATTTAGCCAGACTGGTACTGAGAGGACAATCAAAGGTGAAGATGGCACCCATGCAGGGAATGGGTTGAGGGGTGAGAACCCTGCACAGCACCACTTGGGACTGAAGAGCATGAATCCAACCTTGGGTGAGACTCTTGGGCAGACATGGAGGCCTTGCGGGTCTCAGCTTCCTGCCTGCACATTTCTGTCATTCTATGTGTTGCCATATTTAACTTGTCAGGTAAAGAGAGACCTAATAAACTCTACCATCTATCTGTAGGAGTGGCCATGGAGGGGGGGGGGGACCACTTAATTTACTGATGGCCAGCAAAACCTTGGGACCTCAAGAGATTAGTTAATGGAGGAAAAGCCCGAGGGGGGGCTGGGGGGGGGGGGGACCACTTAATTTACTGATGGCCAGCAAAACCTTGGGACCTCAAGAGATTAGTTAATGGAGGAAAAGTCCTGAAGGGATGAAAGAAATCCAAGTTCAACAGGAAGAACAGAGAAAAAGATCAAAAGCTTATTTTCTTTTTTGAAATTCTTTTAAATTTACCTTTATTGTGGAAAATATCACAGATGTCCCCCTTCCCTCCCACCTTTAACCCCCTCCCCTCCACTCCCCGGGCCTTCACCACACTGTTGTCTGTGTCCATGGGTTCTGCATGTACGCATACAGGTTCTTTGGTTAATCTCTCCCCTCCCCCATCCCAGCCTCCCCTCTGAGATTCCACAGTCTGCTCCATGCTTCTATGTCTCTGGATCTATTTTGTTCATCAGTTTATTTCGTTCATTAGATTCCACGTATGAGTAGCTCGTGTGATACTTGTCTTTCTCTGACTGGCTTATTTTGCTTAACATAAAAGCTTATTTTCTTTTCTTGTCCAGAGTGTGTGTCTCCCTTGTCTGGTTTGGGTCTTTCTTGAAGAAACCTCTGAGACAAAGATTCTCATGCAAGTAGACGCTTGGGAGATAATCCCAGGAAACTGCAGGAGAGGACTGGGGAAGTGAGACAGGGGGGTGAAGGATGCCAATACAGGGTGCCTTGTCATACTGGTTGCCTAGAGCTCAAGAACCCTGGGGACAGGGTAGAGCAAGCATGTCAAACTCAAAGGCTAATACGGGCCAAATAAGGTTTAAGTTTATGTGGGCCGCAAAAAAACAAAAGCTTCAATTTTTATAGAAACATAGGTTTATTTCAAAAAGTATAGTATAAAAAAAAGAACAAGAGAATGATAAAATTAATGTTTTCTTCCAGACACTTGTCATCTCTTCTCGGCTACCATCTTTCCTACTTCGGGGGAAATCTTGTTTGCAGTGATTACTTTCAAAACTGACCCAAGGTGAATGTCAGTAATTCTGGATGGGACAGGAGACTTATTTCCTTTCATAATTGTAAATAACTGCTCACACCGTTATGTTGGCTGGGCCGCAAAAATATTCGTCGTGGGCTGCATGAGGCCCGCGGGCTGTGTTTGACATGCATGCCTCTGCATTATTCCAACCATGGCCTTAGGATACTGAGCTACTTGTTGATATGTATCAGCCTAGTCTTTGGCCATTTGTCCATCTGATTGGTTATCCATCCAATCTTTAGATGAGAGCCGTCATTGGATTTGCTCTCTCACACACCCTACTTGCCTCCCACCCAGGCCTGTCATACTCCCCCGTCTGGCAAAATCCTCAGGGATTTTGTTTACTGTCACAGGGTTCATGGTGAGCATCTGAGGGGTCAAGGGTGAGATACCAGCAATGTCTGCTGCTACCTTTTATGTTTTTAATGAAAGTAAAAACCAGGACCTGCGATTTCTCCACTGATGTTGTTATAAAATGATCTCCAGCAGAAGTGGTGTGAAATGCAGGAAGGCTTTGTTCTTGGGGATGAAGGGGTGGTTAGAGGTACCAGGACATCTACAAACAGATGTATTTCCATCTCAGCAGGAGACAGCCATGTTCTTCTAAGCGTTGATTACACTGTCCCCCCATGGTGGTTCCCTTGTTTGTCTCACTCATGTTGTTCTCATTTACCTCCTTTTGCTCTGGGAATTTGCCAGCATGGAACTTGTTTCAACGTCTACACTGATTAGATACAAGCTTATGTTAAGCTGCAAGCCAATAACGTTTGGCTGGGGAACTTATGGGGCTCATTTAACTCAAAACAGGGTTTTGAACTGAAAATGCAAATAGACACGGGAAGGTTACGATGAAGGTATAAATGCAGGACACATAGTGGCCTGTTCTTCAGAAGCAGGGACAATTCACTTCACCTTTGAAGACTGATGTCAAGGAGATCCCTCAAGTTCATCCACTCAGAGTCCTTAGGGTAGACTGAACACATGGGTTTGCTATCATTGGTGGTTCTTGTATTTGCTTTGAGTTTCTGATTAGGCCTAGAAGCAGCATGGTACGATGGAAAGGCTCAGGTTTAAAAGTCAAGAAAACTTCGATTCAAATCCTGCACAAGGTAATTCATTGCCTTGTGACCTTGGACAAGGAATTGAAACTCTCATTTTCGTAAAAAGCCTGGGTAATAACTACATCAAGTTATGGGGAAGGTGAAATTAAGACACAATGGCTAAAGAAGAGGCCCTGACATAAAATGCACTCCAAATAAGTAATTTCCTTTCATCATTTGTTGTTTCTCCGGTTTAGAAAAATGTCTATCTTTCCTTCTTTTTTTTTTTTTAACCATCAGTGGTTTCCAGCGTGTTCACAAGATTGTGCAACCACCACCACTATCTAATTTCAGATTTATCTTTCTTTTGATTTGTTGACAGTGGTTTTGTTTGTTTGTATGTTATACCATGGCATTTACAAAGAGCGGTAGGAGACCCCCTATACTAACAAAGCCTTACATTTGAAATTCAGTTTGGGCTACAAACTGCATTCTTATCTATGATCACTGTGGCCTTTCTCTGAAAACTACATGTTCATTACCGAGCCTGTTTTGCCATGGAGACACTGAGAGGTGACCTAAGGACAAAATATCTGTGAAGGTGCTATATTAGATCTTGTGTCTCCCTTCTGAAATAGTACTCAGCGGCAACATTTTACCCCAGCACCATTGCCAACACGTGCGAGGCAATGTCCTGCGAGGAGGCAGGTGTGGCTCCCAGGTGAGGTCTCAGCGGGATGGACAGGTTGTCAAAACAAATGTGGCCAAAGGCTCAGCAGACTCACCCCTGCAGATTTCTGTTACTCCCACGGCGCTTTCTCACTGTGGGCTTCACACCTGAAACCTGCTGGTGTGGGTTTCAGTGCTGCAAGGATGCTTCCCATTATTAAAAAAAGGAGAAGAGGGCGATTGCACCACTACTTCTTGGGGCATCAACTCACAGTCTTGGGGCCCCTGGAAGCATGGCAACCAGGTGCCTGTCTGCACCTTTCCTCAAGAGTCAAGGTCAGTGTCGCTAAGATTAGCAACCTACACAAACTCCAGCCACACCTACATCCTCATGTCATTCACTAGGTCAAGGATTTTGGATCCCTATTCAGTTGTATTTCCTATCATTTTTTTTTCTGTTATGTAGGGTTGCAGTGGGTTTAAGGTGGCAATGTTTAGGAATCATTTCTTGGCCTCATCCTAACTACTTAGCACCTGCAAGGATGATGTCATATGCTAATGAATGTTTAAAATTGTTATTAGAGCCTTTAAATATTTCCCTGTGAGTGTGCACCCTATTGATGGGAATGAATACACATGCTCTTTTGTGAATAGCTTGATACAGTCCATCAAAATTTCAAACGTGCTTATCTCTTAACCTGTAATTCTACTCTGGGGTTTTTCCTACAGCAGTCTACTCATACAAATGTGAAAATATCATGTGTAAGAATGTTCACTGCATCATTTTTCTAGTGAAAAATTGGAGAGAAAAGCTAAGTATAGATTGATAGAGGGGATTTCTAAATACAATGTACTGTGAAATACTTCCCATAAGCTTGATTTAAATGATATGGAAATTACAGAACAATATGCATCATATGTCCCCATCTTGTAAAACGCAACAATACCAAAATAATCTGTATATAAAACCCAACCTCTTTGTTTCCTTTTTAAAAAAAAAAAATCATGAAGGTGTGTTCTTTCTTTTCCTTTATTAAACTTTTTGTTGTTGTTAATCCTCACCTGAGGATATTTTCCATTGATTTTTAGAGAGAGTGGAAGGGAGAGAGGAGGAGGAGAGACAAACATTGATGTGAGAGAGACACATCAATTGGTTGCCTCCCGCACATGCTCTGACCAGAGCAGGGATTGAGCCTGCAACTGAGCCTTTGACCAGAATCAAACCTAGGACCCTTCAGTCCACAGGCCAACACTCTATCCACTGAACCATACCAGCCAGGGCTCTTTGTTTCCTTTTTATAGTTGTGAGGTGTCTTTTGGGTGGACCCTGTTAAATGATTCTGCTCAGTAGTTTTAATGAGTTTGGAGAGAAAGATTTTGCAGAAAGAGGTGAAGAGGTCAATCTTGTTCCGCATATTTGAAGGGTAGAGGCCAGAGCAGAAAATATAAGAAGGGGTGTGGGGGAGAAAGAAGGAGGGAATTGGTGGGAGTCTGGTAGGATGTAATGCAAAAGCAAGTAAGAAGCTTCTTGGAGCAAGGAGGAGGAAAGTACTTTTAAGAACAGAAATAGTTAATGAGCAATTTAAATTGTTTGCTATGTCCTTCATAGTAGCAACTCTGCCCCATAATCCTCAAATCATTGGTAATGTCACTATTTCTTTGTATGGATACATCTGTGTGCATGAGTGTGAAGGTAAGGGTATGTGTGTGAGGGTGTGTGTGGGTGTGAGGGTGTGTGTGGATGTGGTTGTAAATCCAAGACGGGCCAAGTTGCAGAACTGAGGCAGCAGATATGAAGCAGAAGCCCTGATTGGCTTTGGTAACATACCATCTCACTCCACCTTTGTGAAAAGACACAGACGTTTGGGGGAGGGCATTGGACTTCCTCACAGCATGAATCAGGGGCTCCAAATCTTTCCAATTTGTTGATGGTTCCCTTTGCGTGCAAAACCTTTTTAGTTTGATGTAGTTCCATTTGTTTAATTTTTTCCCTTGCCCAAATAGATGTGTCAGAAAAAATTATTGCTAAGGAAAATGTTAGAGATCTTATTGGCTACTATAGGCCCAGTGCATGAATTTGTGCACCAGTGGGGTCCCTTGGGGTGGCCTGCAGGGACCAGGCCCCAGCTCACACCCCCATGCTTGCAGCCCCAGCTTGGGCTCCAGCCTCACAGCCCTGCAGCCCCGCCTGGCACCCCTCCAGAGCCACCCCCTCACCTCCACTATTCCACCTGCAGGGCGACCAATTGGTGGTGCCCCCCCGCCCCCGCCCTGCTCCCTCAGCGCCCTGGAGCCAGGTGGAAGCCCCGCCCACTGCTGGTTGCTGTCTGTGGGGCGATCAGGCCACATTTCGCACCTGCCTTGGCCTGGCACCGCCCACTCACCTCCGCAGTCCCGCTCTTGTCGGGGCCCATCTGGGCCCACAGTGCCTCCACTGCCGCTTGCTGCCAGCACTGTGTCACTGATGCCCGCTATGTTCCACACCGCCCCCTGGTGGTCAGTGCATGTCATAGCGAGAGGTCGAACTCCTGAGGGGATAACTTGCATATTAGGCTTTTATTATATAGGGTGTTTTCTTTTAGTAGTTTTATGGTTTTGAGACTTATAGTTAAGTTTGTAATCCCTTTTGAGCTTATTTTTGTAAATGGTATAAGAAAGTGGTCTGGACCAAGGCCATATCTCAGATCAAAACTCTGGGAAGAAATGAAAATGTTCCATGTGCATTATGATAGGAAGAATTAACATGATAAAAAGGAACACGTTTTGTAGGTTTACCCCTTCCTGCTGAGTGATCTTGGGCAAGTCACCCACTCTATGCTTTCTTTCCTGAATTGCAAAGGTAGGATGATAATAATTATACCTTCTTCATGAGCTTTTATGGAGGTTAAGTTAGTTATTGAGCACATATTCGGTGCTCAGTAAATGTTGGGGAAAAGCATTCTTGAAAGCAGAGCAGTCAGTGTACATGTTAAAATCTATAGTTTGAATTTGACGTCAGGGTTCTGTAGCTTCATTCCCTTCTCACACCTTGTCCGCAGCCACCTGATGACTGTGCTCAACACCCACATGTGGAGTGGAGTCAGCACCTGTGAGGAGGCAGTCAGAAACGAGAACAGTTACTAAAGAAACACTGTGTTGCATTTCAGAAATCTTTTCTTTTCATAACTGGAAAACAAATCTATGCAATTTCCAGTAAAAGTGATGGCATATAGGAAATCATTATGGGCCTCGATAAGATGATAAAAAGAATGGAAAGCACGTGACTCCTTCGTGTGGGATACCATTGGAGACCAGCTATGGCCAATGCCATGCAGTACGTTCAGGGAGCTCAGTGACTGATGCCAAGAGCAAAGGGCGGGCACTACGGCCTGAGTGAAATGGGCGCCAGGCGTGGGGACAGGATTTCAGGGCCAGGATTGCAGGGCTGTGGTGCTGGGAGAGGAAGTACAGAAACCCGCCACAGAAATAGTGAAAAAGTCATTCCTTTTGCTGCTGAACAGCAAGATCTGCAAACAGCCCATTTTGAATAAGCTTGGATTGGCTTCTTTACTGAACTGAGGACCTCCTCAAGGCTTTCTTCTCTAAAAAAATTATTAAATGACAAAAGCCAAAAGAATACCTTCAATTCTAGACTTATAATCTTGGCCATATGTCAGATGACCATTGCTTTTTTTGCCACTAGGGTAAAAATTATATTTCCCTAGTGACAGGTGATATGTAAAATGTTTATCATACAATGGGATTTTCCCAGCGATCCCTCTGAGACATACATATCCATACATACAGTGTTTCCCCAGCAGTACTGAGGGGGGTTCTGCACACCCCAGGCCTCTGAGAGTTAGGAGGTGTTTATTCCATCCCCTCCAGAACTATGCAGGTCCCCTGTTCTTGAGCGGCGTGTAGAGTGTGGGGACATCTACACCAGGAGGTGCTGAACACTGAGTTCTCCTTCTCAAGCCTGGATGCTAAGATGCATCACTAAGTACGGTACAAGAAAGCTAGAAAGGAAAGTTGAAATAATTCTAGAGCAGTGCTTTTCAAACTATGTGTGTTTGTGTGTAGAAGAACCAGTTTTGGTTGGGTTTGGTATTTGCAATCTGTTCGGATGAATACTTTTATAAATTCTAACAAAAGTGAATTACTAGACAAATGAAAATTTAAAAATCATACAAGGTCCAAATTTTACTTACTGTGTTCAATGAACTTAAAAGACACTTGGTAAAATTGTCATCACATTTCTAAACTCCTGCTTATCTCACTGTAGACCTGGACTGCAAGGTTCTGCAGATGGACCCTAAACCAGGGGTCATGACTTTGAGGAGCATGAGGCTAGAGAGTATTGAGAACAGTAGGTTTTTATCCATGACTGGCACCTAACCTGCGACCATTGCAGAGCACCCAGCAACATGTGCACTGTTAGTGCTCACTTAAAGGAAGACACTGTGTTGCAAAGTATTTTATTGTGAAGGACACAAAACAAAGGCGATCTCAAAATTTCAATCAACCCAATAATCCATAAGTAATGCACTGATTAAGGAAAATTGTTCTTCATCATTCTCCATCATTCCTATTTTTATGTGTAAAAATGCTTACTACGAGACCTGCGAGGGCAGTCTGAAGAGCAGGAGAACCCACTGGAGGAAAAAAAATGAGCCTGAGCCTGGGATCAAGGCAGAGAATGAGGTTTTCCAAGGAGCTGGGGCAGAAAGCCCTTGACAACTCTATGTCTGATGAATGCGGGCAGACCAGTCCCTTCAGAGGCCTCGGGCGATTAAGCCAATTTTCCTAGGCCAGGAGACAGCTCAGACTGGTGTCTGCCGGGCCACTCTGAGACCGCACGTCACAAGTTGGTTTGGTAAAGTGGCAGACTGAATTTCCTGGATGCGTTCCAAGGCCCTCTGTCAGCAAGTGGGAAAGAGGGTAGGGATTTGCTACTCTTAAGCAGCAAAAAGTAGAACCAGAAAACCCAACTAATAAAAGAACTGTATAAAGTCTGGCCACGGCATCCCGTGTCCAAAGACAAGCAAACATGGTATTCTTCCAATTATGAGCAGTGGCCATAATTTTAGTAGCTTTGCAGCCTTCTAACTTAGTTATTAAAACATCGTCATTTCCCCATGTCACTGACTGCTTTTTTCTATTCCTACAAAATCCATATTTGGCCCAAGCTTTAGCAGAACTTCTGGGGTGCGTTCCACATGTGATTTCCATGTTACCAGCTAGCTTGTTTATAAATAAGTCCCACTGACACCTGAACTCAGGGAGGAGGCAAATTCACTAAGAGCAGTTTAACTTTCATGCAGACTTCTCATCCTCACTGTGCAATGTCAGTGCTATGGGAAGGAGGTTGGAGCTTAGTCATCAGACCTGTCTAAGTGAAAACCAGATCAGTGATTCCGAGTTTGTTGCTTCCTATCATTATAGAAGTTTATATATAATTTCCACAGTATTTTTTACAGCAACCTTATGCTAATTCAACATATGCTTACTTTATAAATTATTGTCTCCAAGAATATCAATATATACGGAATTTTTCAGACAATTAATGTTTTAAATATGAGCCAAGCTCAGTTATCTAATCATGCCTCTCCATTTCCATTCCTTTTTCATCTTGGAGATGAGGAAATGGAGCCCCTTTGGGGGTAGGGGACAGTGAAATGAGTTACTGAAGGTCTTACAACAAATTATGGGTAGGGTCTATCTAGGCTTAATTCCCCTGACTCCTTGTCCAGTGTTCTTGTAGGGATTACCACCTAGTTTTTGCAGATATCAGAGTTCACCGAAGAAACCCTGAATGTAATTGCTGTGGACATATGGTCTTGAATTTATACTACAAGATGCTAATCACTGCCTGTCTGCTCATACCCTCTCTAAAGGAAATCTCCCTTCCCCTAACCCCTGCTGCCTAAGCAGCCAGATTCTGTATTATGGAACTCCTCTAATCCCGCTGTTGTTAATTAGTCTGGAGATGACCATCCTGCCCGGGGGAGTTCATCCATAGGAGGGGTGAAGAGGCAAATAGGACAATCAGATTCCCTCTCTCAGGAGGGTGACCAAGGAAGAGAGAAAGGCTACTTTCTGGAAGTGGGATCATGAAGTCGAAATAGGAATGAGTTGAAAGAATGCAGCTATGGCAAACAAAAGCCATATGCAATTCAGAGTTATGTGAGAACGGGAATCAAGAACGAGCGCAGAAAGCCAGGGAGTATAGAGCTGCACACAGGCGCTGCAACGCGACCACAATGGCATGAACAGTGAGCTCTGCGCCAGGCACTGTCCGTACTGTCTTACCCATATGAACTCGTTTCCACCCTCACAACAACCCAGGAGCTGGGTGTCACTGTTAGCTGTGTTTTCAGATCAACAAACGGAGGCACAGAGAGGTTAATGAACTTGCTCAAGGTCATACAGCTCACTTGACGGCTGTAGTTCCTGTAGGTCTGTTTGTATCCCATGTGGTAATCCCTGATATGGTTCTTTTTTTTTAACAACTGAAAATATAGTTATGTATGTAACCACAACAAAAATAAGATGTTTGACTTGAAATCTTCAAACAGATGATAAAAACTCACCTGGAAAAGGCATGATCATTGATATGTCGCAGTTAGCATGGTCTTTATCTCACAGCCCTTTACATGAGTTAGAGTAAGAAACCTTCCCAGGCAGAACCAAGGTGGGCAGCCAATAACAACGATGGGGGTGGCTTCCTACGAAGTTTAGGCTGAAGATTAGGTTCTTGTGACCGAATGTCTGAAAGGGACTATAAGACGGGGGTAGGAAGAGGAGGTTAAGTGGAAACACTAAACACGAAAGAGCTCACATGCCCAGCCTCTAACCATCATCTCAGGCACCTATTGAATGATTCAGGGGCATGCATGTGGGGGGAAGAAACCAGTGGAATGCACAAGATAAGTCATGCCCAAACTTGGAAGTGAGGAGCCATTTCAGAGCACGACTATGGGCAAAGGCAAACTCACCAACTCAGCGCCTAAATCCCATCAGTGAGAGGAACCCGGGGATCTGGAAAGGCCCAAACCAAAGCTGTATCCCAAAGGATCAGCCCTTCTAAGAGCTTTGAAATGTAACAAACCGAGAGGGCTACAGAAATACAAATACCGGGGATGTGGGCAGTTGGGCAAGAGGTCGGGAGGAGAGACTAACAACATCAATAAACTAATAATTTGTCACTGAAAACAATGTGCCCCAAACCTTCCTTATGCTATGTAATGGAATAAATTGGGAGCTGATGAGAGAGAGCAGGAGAGAGAGAGAGAGAGAGAGAGAGAGAGAGATAGAGAGAGAGAGAGAGAGAGAGAGAGAGAGAGAGAGAGAGAGAGAGAGAGAGAGACCAGCCCAGGTCCCAACCTAATTTCACCAACTCCACGCTTCAGGGAAGAGCCCTGGGAACATCATGAGGCCTCGGTGTGATTTTCATCCTCGGGGAAGTTTAGGAAACACCAGGCTGAGGATCCTTGTCCTGTGTGTGCCAACCTCACACTGACTCCTTCAGGTCGACAGTGGTAACAGACGATGAAACTGAGTGCTAGAAGTTCATATCATGCTACGCAGCTGAGAGGTGAGAGTCCACATGACTCTACAGGCCCGTACACTCTGTGGCTGACAGTGTGTTTTGCAAACTTGTGTGGTGCCCACTGAGTAGAAAGGGTCTAGGCGGGGCCTTCTGATAAGAGGGCTCTGAGTCAACCCACTGCTAAAGGGTTTCAGGGTCCTGCCAGGTTCAGTTTGCCCCTCTGCATTCTGATGTTTGCATATCAGCCAACTTTGCAAACAGTGGCATCATGAAATCATCTTGAAAGGGCAAGAGGCAGCCCAAGGAAAGCAGATGCAGGCAGCAGGGGTCCGACCTGGAGTGTACAGGGCGTGAGAAGTGGGCATTGCTGTGTCTGTCCTCCTGTCTGGTCCCACTTATGTTACCTGGGTGGGTGAGTGTGGAACATTTGGGAGTGGGGTGTGGTCAGGGTTATGGGGAAGGAGAAAGGGGGGCAGAGGCTGTGGGGGTGAGAAGCTACCAGCATCTCTGGAATTATTTTCTTTCCAATTGCAGGTCCTCCTTCACCTCCAGTTTCAGAGAGAGATTTTATATGAGTCTAGGCTTTCCAACTCCTCACACTTGTTCTAGGTATTGCTCCCTGCCTGCTTCATCATGTTGATGTGCAATAAAATCCGTAAAATGAAGAGGGCTTGTGATTTTGGGAAAACAACCAAGAAGTAGATTTGGTTCCATACCTTCCCAGTTGTGAGATCTTAGACAATTTACTTGTTAAGGTCGGGTCTTGACTCCCTTGCCAGTAAATGAGTGTGATCACATCTACATCTTGACATTGTCTTAAAATTTAATGAATTATGTATGTAAAACACCTAGCATGCAAAAATCCCTCACAAACATTAGCTCCTCCTTCACGTGTGTCCTCTCTCTCTCTCTCTCTCCACTCTATCTTTCCTCTAGTCCCTGCCAGCATCGTGCTAAAGTGGATTGTATCTCATGGTCCAAATCCTGCCTCAGAGAAGCACAGAGAAAAGGAAGGGAGTGAGAGGCCCTCTGGGCGTGATTTTCACACGCGCAGAAACAGGGCAAAAATGTAAAGTTCCCCCAACCAAGTGGACTGCCCACTCCCACCCCTCTGCTCCTCCTGGGTCCCAGTTAACAAAGAATCTCTGTTTATAGATAAGTCTGTATTTCTTGTATCTATATTATTCCAGATGTTGAAAATAACCGCCTACACTGCCCCTGAGCGCCTTACACCGTATCTTCTCATCTTATCTTACTGGCTAAAAGGTTTCTTTTAAATAGCATTTCACCCTCCCGCTGGAAGTACAAGGACAAGCGTTTTTGTTTTGTTTTTTCCCTGCATTGGTTACCTTTATTGTAAGTCTCTTGAAAGGTCCTTATTCATTCTCCCATCTTAAAGTCTTGCTAAATACTTTGTTTTGCAACTAAGATATGTAGCATCATCTTTCCTAGTGAGCTTCATCCTCCGACACCCAGTCTGAGTGGCATGTCTGAATTGGTTTTCTGCCTTGGCACTTTGTGTATAAGTTAGTTCATTCCCCTCTAAGAATAATGTCCAGACATAAATTCTGGGGAAACTATTTAATTCCCACTGCAAAGTTAATTACTTTCCTCAGGTAAAGTGACATCCCCCCAAGATGATTGTCAGGTTGAAGTCATGCAGGCCTGGGCTTCATTATCATTTCTACCACTTAATGTCAAGTGTGTGTGTGTGTGTGTGTGTGTGTGTGTGTGTGTGTGTAATCTCACTGAGCCTCAGTTTCTGCACCTGTAAATGGGGATAAGTATATCTGCCATATATGTTTTCTGTGAAGATTGAAACAAATATGAGGCACCTGGCAACCTGCAGACACAGATCTTTATTTTCTTCACCGATGTATCCCAACTCGAGCCAAAAGCAGTGCCTGGTTCATAGTAAGTGCTCAATAAATATTTATTGAATGAATGTTGAATCAATAAATATTTATTGAATGCATAAATATGACTGAATGAATAAATATACATCAAATGAATAAGTGGCTATTGAATGAATAAATAAATCACATTGAATGAATAAACAGTCTATAAAGCTCCACAGTGTCAGGACAGAGACACGTACCCCTGGACACGCAGTAAGTGTTGTTAATGGGAACCAGTAGCCACAGGCACATTCGGCTACTATAAGGCTGTTCCCACCTCTCCCGTCTTCTCGCTGGCTTCTCTAGGCCATGTTTCTCCTAGGCACGCACCCCCAAATTTTACAGGCTTCTGAATATGATGATGTGCCTGGATCCACCTGTGAGCTGCTCCGCTCCTGTGTGCGGCCTGTGTGGGGAACAGGGTCAGCTTCCCCGTGCCCAGGGGGGACAGGTCACAGGGGGGCTGCCTGGCTCCCTGTGGTACAGATACAGCCTTTTCCTCCAATCAGGACAGCCTGTGGGTCCGCTGCCCAGTCCTAGGGTGAACTTGCCAAGTGATCAACTCTATTTACATTCTAAGAAATACTAGTCAACACAAAACAGCAAATACCACACACACACACCCCAATTCCTTGAGGGGGAACCCTAAGTAGCTGCCCTTAGTATATGGATGGGTTTTGCTGTTTCTCGGCCCCATTGGCCGGGCACACTGGGACCTCACAGCCCCTCCCAATACACCAGCGCTTCAAGGCCTCCATTCTAGCTCCTGGGGTGGGGAATCTCTTTGTAACTTCACTGAAATTCACTGCACTCAGAGCCCTGGCTCTTTCTCAGGCGAGGTGGAGACCAGCCTGGCTTGTTTTGTCTTCTTGGGGCTGAAAGCGAGGCCACTGCCCTCGGCTGTTTTCAAGACCCGGGGTAAACTGCTCTGTGTCTGCTGTGGCCTCAGCCCCAGCTCCCCTGCCATCACCCAGGTTTTTATCTGGTTAAAATGAACATCAAAGGCAGCCACAAAGGAGAATAAAGAGGGAGGAGATATCACAAAAGGAGCCATGGGGGGCAGAGGAGAGAGGGAGGAGAAGAGAAAGGAGAGGGCCCCTCACGGGTAGGACTGTGTCCGCACCCCCGTGGGGAGGAGGAGGGGAGGCTCTGACAGGAGAGCCCCCTCTCTGACGGCCCGGTTTTGTTTTCATGCTGGAAGCCCCCGCCTCCCTGGCTTTTTCCGCTGGCTTTACGGTCTCTGCAGCACATGGAGCCAGAGGCCGGAGGCAGAATGTAAAACACAGGCCCCTAGGATGGTGCCCTGTGCCCGGCTTCCCATCTGCTCACGGCCGTGCAGGAGCGCGAGGCCTGGTGTGTTTGATGTGCCCTGGGGAAGAAGGAAAGAGGGGCCCTGCCTTAGTGCTGCTCGCTGCCACCACTTGGCAGCCCTTCAGGATTTTATGACAAATAGTAATGAATAATTAACAAATCATTTGAGCTGCTCCCAAAAGCCTGAAGAGAAAGAACAGCAGCGCCCCTGCTCCCGCCACACCAGACAGGCCTGGACAGTGTTTCCCCTCTTACCATAGGCGGCCGAGATGCGGGCCTCGGAGAACACCCCAGGCCGGCAGGGGACCAGCTCGCTCCAGCCTGCGCTCTGTTACAGGGAAAATATAGCTGGCATCTTGGCTTTCTCTCTGCCACGCTTTCTGTCTTAGACCAAGTTTTGAGGGATGCGTGAGCTCTTTGAGCTCCGTTAGAGCGATAGTGTATTTGGGCTGGGGAGCACCTTCACCTTCTGCCCCCAGAGGACACTGAGCACCGTCTGAGACACTGTGATTGTCATAACTGGGAGAGGGGTTACGGTTGTTGCTGGCCTCGAGGTCAGGGGCGCTTCTAAACACCCTGCAGTGCACAGGACAGCTCCCGCAGCAAGCATAGCTCAGCCAAGGCCCACCCTGCATGCAGTACAGTAACAGTATGTGCCCCCACCTCCAGTTGGGTTGCAATGCTTCCTGGTGCCTGGAGTGAGCCCAGGACCAGAGAAACTTGGGCTCCCTCGAGTGGTGACTCACACTATGACAGCCAAGACGCCAGGCCCAAAGCACAGGCTTGGATAGGAGTGTGTGTGTGTGTGTGTGTGTGTGTGTGTGTGTGTGTGTGTGTGAAACAAGTCAGTTTATCCATCACAAATGACGCTTTGGTTGATGGCGACAGCAATATTCATGAATCATTAATGAGCCATTTTCCTCTCTCCATGTTGTTAATATCTATGCGGCGGCCTTGGAGTTGAGAGCAGATTTCCTTCTGATTAGTCAGACAGAGTGTTTATTTTTGAAACACGTTCTTTGCGTTTAGAGACGCCCTTGAGTGTGAATTCATGTGCTTTCTCTTTTTTTTTGTTTTCTCCCTAAATAGAATCTCCAAGAGCTTCCATCATATTTCCTCATCCTCCCTTTGGGAAGAGGACCTTAGAAGTAGCCCGAATGAATGGGTTGTAGATAATGTGTCACTTACATTTTTTAGGGAAATGAGGAGAGTGGGTGGAAGGGGATTTTAAGATTCCAATTCTGATCAAAATAACCCTAAATAGGTCAGATCTTACACTGGCCACTCAAACGTATCTCCAGTGAAGCATTTGCGGAGCGTCCCTTACCTGCGAGAGGTCGTTTGATCTCCCAGCCAGGCAATACTTCCCAATGGATTGACTTTCCTCACTTACCTAGGAGCCTGTTATCATGTCACCCCCATGTTCGTATTAATTATAACAACAGCAGTAATGATAATAACACTATTTATTGGGTGAATCCCACATGGCAGGTCCTGTGTCGCATTCATTAACTCATCTAATCTTCATTACAATCATGGGAGGGAATGTGACTGCATTTTACAGATGAGGCACTGACACATCAGAAGATATGTGACTTGGTGAGATCACTGAGCCACAAGGAAGCACTCAGGACAGGCATCCAGGTCTGTCAGATCGCACAGCTACCTGAGGTTTTCTGAGCTCTGGTTGATTAGAACAGTTCTCCATGCTGGCTCAAGGTCACTGCCAACCCTTTCCAGCCAGCCTTCATTCTGTGATCCTTTCTCCATAAGCCCTTCCCCTCTGAGACCATCTCCCAGCTGGGCCCAGCTCTGCTCTTTCTCAACTCCGATCCTATGTCCTTTCCCTCGTCAGAAATGGCCTCCCTTCTCCTCCCAGCACTTCCAATTCAGTTTTGCTTCCAAGCCCAGTTCCCATCACCACCAAGAAGCCTTTCCTCGCCTTCTCCACTTGAGCACACACACTATCTGGTGTGGACGCAAGCCTGCCTGAGTCGGAAGTTCTCGTGCTGTCACAGATTGCATTGCCTACGAGAGGGAGACTTGTCCCAGATATTCACTGGTTTCACAAGGCAAGGTTTTGTGCCTCTTTCTTTATCTGCAGGCTTCACTGAATATAGAGAGTATGCAGGTATCAAATTATAACGCGGCACGCCTGAAACTTATATAATGTTATTAACCAACGTAAACTCAATACATTTAATTATAAATAAATAAATAAACCAATTAGACCGAATTGAAACCCAATCCATCTTCACAGAATTGTTGCAATAAATAAATGAGAAAATGAAAACACTTTGCAAACATAAGGCATGGTTAGATTATCATCTGGTCTTTCCCCCCGCCCCCCAATTTTTATTAATTTCTTTGTGTGTGTGTTTTTTGTTGTGTTTTTTTTTCTTTTCTTTCCTTCTCCACCCACTCCTGCCAGTTTTATTCAGAATTACATGAAGTAGGTCAGCCATGCTGGGCTGGAGAGAAATCGAGCTT